AGTTTCCTGCAGGCCTGCTAACTCAGATCTCTCTCCCCCAGCAGCTTCTGTGGCTGTCTCTACCCCAGGAGAATGCTGGTTTATCACTGGGCCTGAAAGTGCTGATAAAGCCTTTGATTCTCTTTGTGTGTTGTGTGGGTTTTCAACCTACTGCCCCTGAACTTCAAATTCGCCTTTGTTATCTGATCTGTGAAAGTGGATCTGGAGTTTTTTAAAGACCAAGTTTATCTTTCTTTAGTTATTATTCCTTAGCGGGAGGGTACCTTTAAGTTGTCGTCCGTCTTTATATTTACCCACCTATAATTAATATTTTTTTGTGTATTGACTTATCTTCTTCCAATTACTGTCTGGTTCTTGTTTCCTCATAAGGCACAGTCTGTGCAAACAAACAAACAACAACAACAAACAAAACCAGGCTCCTCAGAACTTGACTGTGCGTATGGTTACTTTTTTAACTTGCCATACTAAAAGGTTGCTTCTTGTAAAGATATTGGCTTACGTGTTTTCTCTTTACCTGTGTGATGCTGAGTGGAGCTCACAAGCATTGCTATGATCCTTGACTTTCTCTTTCCAAGCAAAAAATTTTTGGTTGAGCTATGTATTTGTGAAACAGGGAGGTGGAACACCTTGAAATAGACTCTGCTGTTGACTGCATGAGTTTCAATCCTGGCTTTTCTTCTTGCTACTTCTGTAATCTTAGGCAATTTACCTCTGTATATTTTAGTTTCCTTGTTGATAAAATAGGAATAATAATAACCTACCACGTAGGGTAGGAGGACTAAATGAATTAATACATGTGAGGACTAAATGAATTAATACATGTAAAACGCTTGGGCCAGTGCCTGGGATGGTAAACACTGAATACATTTCCAGCGTTCGTTATCATTATCATTATCATCAATTCTGTGAACTCTGCTCCTTACCGAGCATTTGCAGATGGATGTGCCCAATGTGGTGGTATTTCCTCAATTAGATACAAGTTTCACTGTGTTTGACAACTGTTGTTCATAAATTGTGGTTTGGGACTGTGAGCTGTTTCCTTTTTTCCTTTTTTTTTTTTCCGTTTTCTCTTTTTCCTCTCCCTGGTTTTAGGGAAAATAGTGTGACAGAAATGTTTTCCTATGCCACCACTAACTGTAGGGGTGTAAGCCTTCTAAAAGGACCAGTTCAACAGCTCCCCTCCCCAAAGAATGCTTGTGAATTGTGTTTATAGATTTATTAATGATTTTCTACATTTCTACAGCATATGTAGCCAATTTTCTTCCTTCCTGCCTGTGACAGTATATGATAATGAATTTCCTTTAAATATTTTGTTAGCCAGTATTTTATTAACGATTTCACTTTGGCAAAGGTGCTGTTTTAGCTTATGTTTGTTGCAAGGTGGAGACTGACAAGAGAGATTGAATAAAGTAGATGCGGATGCTAAAATTTTAACTTGGTATTGAAGGTCCAGTTGCACAAAATTAAAGGATGGCTTGAATGTGTGTTAAAAGTGCTTTGGAGTTTTAGCTGAATCAGTTGTGTGGTGTGACTGCCAAGAAAGCGTCCACAATTTTAGATTGCTGTGATTGAATTGTATTGTACTCTCTGGAATCACCAGAGCACAGTTCCGCCTTTTCCTTCTCTGGTCTGCACCCTGGAACTACACCCAGTTCTGGAAAATGTACCTTAAACGCACTGCCATGGTACATTGTGTCTGAGGAGAGCGATCAGGATGTTAAGGACACCTGAAGCAAGGCTTTGTTAAGGACTGGGTTGCAAGAGGTAAAGGTGTTTACCTTGGAGGTGCGAAGGCTGGCCAAGGACATTTGGGAAAAATAATGACAACCATAGTAATGGTAATGATACTAATTGAAGCTTAAAGTCATTGAGTGTGACCACAAGCCAGGCACTAAGAACAATCAATGTGTTATCTTATTTAAACCTCGTAAAAATCCTCTGAGACAGGAGCAGTCAGTATTCCATTTCATAAAGAGGCAAATTGAGGCTCAATGAAGTTCAGACATTTGAGGTCACACAGTTAACAAGAGGGCTGAGATTTATCTTTTGTTTGTCTCATTGTGAAAACCTGAGCTCTTAAATTCTGTGCATCTCTGATATTTGCACACATATGAAAGGACTTGAATGTGAAGTGCTAACTACCCTGAAAGCAGGTTCTTGACTCTAAAACAGTGTTTTCTAGATTCTAGGCCAGTGGATTCTCTAGTGCTGCTCATGTTCAGGTGCATGCTAAGTGACAGCTTGGTATTTTGGAGTGGGGTTGGCAGGGGATTATGTGATCTTTAAAATCTCTTCAACTCTGAGGATTTGGGGATCTTGTATATGTTTTCCTCTTTGTCAGGTATATTTAAAAGTTTTTAGAAAAATTGTACAAAATACAGATACCATAAAATTTACCGACTTAACCACTTCAAGTGTATAGTTCAAGATTATATATATATATGTTTACATTATTGGGAAGCCACTCTCTGGAACTTTTTCATCTTGTAAAAGTGAAACTCCATACCTACTAAACAACCACCACCAATTTCCTCCAGATCTGAGAAATCACCATTCTCCTTTCTGTTTCTGTGAATTTGACTGCTCTAGATACCTCATATAAGAATCGTACTATCTATTTTCTCAGGCCTGGCTTATTTCACTCTGTGTGATGTCCTTGATCTTCATCCATAGTGTACCATGTGCCAGCATTGGCTTCCTTTTTAAGGTCACACAGCAGTACGTGGCATGTGTGTACCATATTTGGTTATCATGTCAGGTATATTTTAATTAAAAACAAAACAACCAACCACTTAAAAAGTTTTAGAGCTGATATTAACATAACAATTTATGGCTCTGTTTGCAAATTATATATTGAGTTACTTGGGATGGAAGTAGATTGATGTACTTTAATTAACAAAATTATTTGCATTATAGTAGGATTATACATTATAGGAGATCAGCCTGAACCTCTGCTGACCTGGCCCTATGGTATATCCTAGAAGTACTATCTTGAATTAAATTCCTAATAATCAGTTTATTTTCTTAAAACTTGTGCCTTTAAAAAAAATCCAATCTCTATTGGACAAATGAATAGCTTTGAAATGAGAATAAAGGGAAATTTCTAGTTATTAGCCTTCCATATTACTTAGTATTATCTGTGGTTTTTTTTTTTTTTTTTCTTTTGTAGAGTGCTTAATGTTATAAAGTAATTCTGTGGAACATTGCTCTTTTAAAATCAAACATTTGTTGTTTTTCTGTGTACCAAATACTAAACTTTAGACTAGAGTTTTCCTCTCCATTTCTGGCCTCCATGTCTGATTTATTGCTTCATTTCTGGTGTTGAGCAAACTGAGATGTGGTATGGGAAATGGCATCACTAAATGGCCCAGAGGCAGAGATTGGCATCAAGAGTTTTTCTTCCTATGAGCTGAGTTGTGTTTTTTGAAATTTGCTTCTGAACAAAAGATGTAACAATAGCATTTACCTTAGTAGCAGCTTGCCAGGTAAATTTCCAAACAAAGGATATTTTTCTTGGTTATAACATAAAAAAAAGGCATAAAATCATTCAGTCATTGGTAGTGAGGGCCAGAGTTTGGCATAGGAGCTGCACTTATGCCCTCCTATAATTTCTATCTCTCAGTCCTTCCAAATCAATGTAGGGTCCAAGTAAAACAGTACTTGCTGTGCATACCAGCTTTTCACAAGTCTTCTACCACTCCTGTCCTGCTAGGTTATCACCTTTCTGGGGCACTTGCTCAGAACACAGTCTGAAAGGTAAACTCTGTGTACCGCAAGATATACTGGAAGGACGTTCAGACCACAGGACAGTGTGAGAAGTGAAATTTCAGTAAAATCTCCGGGTGACATTTAGTGTTCTACTTAAGTCCCCAGAGAAGCAATTGGGAACCCATGACTAGGACCATGAGGAGCAATGTACAGAGTGGAATTTTCTAGATGTTTACTAGGAAAGACGAGGGGATCATAAACCTAAGAAATCAAAGGCAATAATGCATGTTAGGTGTGTGGAAAGTTGATATAAGAGCCATAAGTTTTTCATAAGAGAGAGTTAAGCAAATTAAGAAAGCTTTCTATAAACTGAAGATACTTGAAATTTGCTATTTTGCTTGTCTTCTTTAATTTTTTTTTTTTTTTTTGGGGGTGGTGCTGGGGATTGAACTCAGGGACACACTGTCTGTCTACTATCTCTCTGTCTCTCTGTCTGTTTCTCTATCTCTGTCTCTCTCTCTGTCAGTGTTCAGTCAGGCCCGCTTTGAACTTGTGATCCCCGCCTCAGTCTCGCAAGTGCTGGCATCAGAAGTGTGAACCACCACACCTGGCTTAATTGGCACATAGTAACTGTACATATTTATAGGGTACAGTGTGACATTTCAATACAATGTGTATACAAGGTGAAATGATCAGATGAGGGTAATGGGCCTATCCCTCATCTCTGATTTTTACATTTCTTTGTGTTGAAAGCATTTAAAAACTTCTCCATCAGCTATTTTGAAATACTCAATTAATTGTTGTCAACCATAGTTAACCTACTGTGCCAAAGAACATCAGAGGTTATTGCCCCAATCTAGTAGCACCTCTACCTGCTGACCATCCTTTCTCCCTCCCCTCCCCACATCCTTCTACGCCTCTGCTAAGTGTCATTCTATTCTGTACTTCTATGTGATCAAGATTTAGCTTCTGCATAGAAGCGAAGACGTGCAGTATTTGTCTTTCTGTTCCCAATTTATTTCATTTAACATAATGATCTCCATTTCCTGCATGTTGCCACATCCTTTCCAATTTTCCTGACCTGGTGCTGGCAATAATTCTGAAGTATTGTGCTTTACCCTTCCTCCCATTGTCCCTATTACCCTTTGTGGGCATCTAATTTTACAGATGGCTTCCTATAAACCCATAGGTTTTTTTGCTTTCTGTGTTTCCCTAGGTGTTTGCAGTTGCTGTAGTTTGGTGAGGGTTTCTCCTTGCTGGTTCTCCTTGACACCGTCCTTCTGTTTTCTCAGGAAAGAAGAGCCCAGACCTTGGGGAGTACGATCCCCTCACCCAGGCTGACAGCGATGAGAGCGAAGATGATCTTGTGCTTAACTTGCAGCAGAAGAATGGAGGGGTCAAAAATGGGAAGAGTCCTCTGGGAGAAGCGCCAGAGCCTGACTCCGATGCAGAGGTTGCCGGGCCTGCAAAGCCACATCTCTCTGAAGTCACCACAGAGGGGTACCCCTCAGAACCCCTCGGGGCCCTGGAGCAGAAGGCAACCTCCTCTCTCGCGTCCTACGTGCGCACATCTGTCTTCTTGCTAACGTTGGGGATCTCAATGATCCTGGTGCTCCTCTGTGCTTTCCTCATCCCCTGTCCCCCCAGAGACCTGCACAGCACTTGGAGCCGCCGCTTGGGCTCCCAGCGAGGTGAGTGGTGGGATTTTCAGTGCTAGTTCTGTAAAGTGTTATGGCATTACCTGATTGAACTTTCCCTCCAAATCTTAAAAATGAACGCGTGTCATAGAGTACTGTACTCCACCCCCCACGCGTGGAAGTGGTGAGGAGGTTACGATTTGAAATAAGACAGTGGCTGCGTGGCTCCGCCTCCCGACATGGTGTCATGTAGCACAGGTTTAGATGCAGAGAGGACAGCGTGTTGCTTTGCTGGGTTCCTGCCGGGGAACAAACACTGCAGTGGGCGAATGGAAAGTAAGGCTCCAGGCCCCTCAGGCCTTCTTTGATTATATAAGCTTGGCCTAATTAAAATTTAGAATAATTTCATTTCCCGTGGAAGGCAGTTGCCGTTGTATTTTTCTTAGTCCCAGTGGTTAGGGTGGTGCTGCCCGAGAGAGGCCACCTTTTTATCTCTGAAACCTCTTGGTCTGGACCGGGGGTTGTATTTCAGCTGTGCCAAGCAGTTGTCTCCTGTGAACTGGATGAGGCTGTCCCCAGACACCTCCTGTAGTCTTGACAGGGGAGAGCCTTTTCTCTGCTGCTTCTCGGATCCCAGCTGAATTAGCTTCTGGTGGGCTCTGTGTTGTCATCTTTGGGTCTCTTAAGGCAAATTTAGTTTACGTGTGTGATATTTATATGACGTGTGAAGCCTGGTAACAAATTCGTGGTTATCTAACACTCAGCTTGAGAGATAGAACATATTGCTAAGTGAAATAAACCAGACAGAGAAGGATATATTTATGGTGTCTCCTATATGAGAAACCCAAAATGTAAAAAATTTAAATATGAAAATATAAAAAATTTAAAGAGTAAAATAGAGACGGTAGGAAACAGAAATAGAATCATTACAGATAGGAAAGGGATATGGGGAGGGAGAAGGTGAGAGGGAAGTAAAAATGACCACGACGTGATATGTATATGTACCAGTTCTCCAAGACACATGCAGTTATGATATATTGCAAATATATATGTACAAAAAGGCCAAGAAAGACATAGAATGTTAAGCCATGCATGGTGACACATCCCTGTGATCTTAGTACTCTGGGGGCTGAGGCAGGAGTATCTCAAGTTTGAGCCTAGCCTGTGCAGTTTGACTTGCTGAGACCCAAATAAGAAGTGCTGAGGATGTAGTTCAGGGCAACGGCTCTGGGTTCAATCCCCAGTGCCAAGAAAAAAAAAAAGAGAGGGAGAGAAAAAGAAATAGCACATTATCCAGATCTCTGTAGTCTCCTTCGTTTTCCCTGACTGTGTCCTCCTCTGGTCACCATAAGTTCTGCTTGCCTCAACTTTGTGTTGATTATCCTTTGGCTAAGTTTTACCACACTGACATATATCCTAAGCAATCTGCTTATTTATTTTGGCTCTTCTTGAGTTTTACATAACTGTGGTCACATAGACTTGCTTTTTTGTTTAGCATGAGGTTTTGAAATAATATTTTTGAGGTTAATCCCATCTCTCCTTTGCCTATCTGGGGTTTATTCAGTTTTACTGCTGTTGAATCTTCCATGATGTGAATATCCCCTGACTTATTTATCCATTTTACTATTGATGAACATTTACATGGCTTCCAGTCTTTTTTTTTTTTTTTTTTTAAATAACTGATGCTGCTAAGGACGTTTTGGTGTGGGTCTCCTGATCCAGGAGGTAACAAATTCCCTAAGGCCTAAACCTCGGAGCAGGGTCAGAGTGTGTGTGCCCATTCATTTTTACGGGTTGATCTTCAGAGTGGTTTTGTCAATTTATTCTTCACTTGCAATGTGTGAGTTTTCTCCAAATTTGGCAGGCTCCCCTTGACTCCACACTTGTGATGGGGGAGAGGTCCACCTTTGTCACTGCCTGTGGGATGCAAGTCCAGGCTCCCCACCAGCCCCGGGGACACCACCCTGTGTCATGTCAGAGCTGCAGGCTTCCCTTGTGTATGAAGGGCCTTGGTTACTTCTAGGTAGGATGGCAGACTTGGCTTCCCGGCCTTCTCTGTCCTGACCTGGTGTGGAAGGGGTGCTTATCAGCCAGCACCAGGTGGAAGTAGGGCTGCCAGTCCAGCCTTTGCTCCGTGCATGTATGAGCATGCGTGAACTGCCTCCAGGGCCATGGTTTTTTGTGTGTAGATCAGTTGGATTGGAGCAGTCCCTATTTGAAACATTTCTGCCTGGCCAGGTTGCTCCTTCCCTGGTGCTTTGCCTAGAAAAGCCAGCATTTCTTGGGGTTCTTGGTTTGCGCCTGTGGCATTTCTAGGTTGCTGACTTCTTCAGCACCTTGTCTGAGAAATACGAGGCCCAAAGAAAACCCAGGGGACTCAGCACCTTGTCATCCGTGGTTCTGGCCATCTCTAGTCTATCTGCCTTCATCTGTCCTTTTTGCAGACCCTTGCTATGTTTTATGTGTAGCGTCCAAGGCTTTTGAGACAGACTTAGAGGGCACCAGAGGTAGGGAAAAGTGTGTCTCTGCCTGGGAACCAGAAATCTGCCTGGTTTTTGTGGGTGCTGGTTGTGTTACGTATCTACACCTTTTCTCCCTGGCTTATGTGAATGTTCTCAGGCCCCTTTTGATTCTTTATGTGTATATCAGGTGGAGACCTGTCTCCGCTGGAATTGGCTGACGTGAATGGAGACGGCCTGCGGGATGTGCTTCTTTCCTTTGTGACATCAAGGAACGGGAGCTCAGCAGGTAAGGGGCACATCTTTCCAAGGCTGCTGTCACCAGGAGAAAGCATACGGTGTCCCCAGCGGAGCACCGCAGAAGAAGGTGTGCAGTGAACACAAAGTTAGCACACGTCCATCATACGTGAGTCAGATCAGAAAGTACTTACATGAAAGTGAAGCTTAGTTCAAGAAACCAGAGAGAGCTGAGTGTGGTGGCGCATGCCTGTAATTGCAGCACTCAGGTGGCTGAGGCAGGAGGATTATTGTGAGTTTGGGACCAGCCTGGGCTACAAAGTGAGCTCAAGGCCAGCCTGAACTGCATAGCGAGACCCTGTCTCAAAAAGATTAAAAAAAAAAAAAAGAAAAAGAAACCAGAGAGAGCTATGTTGGAAGGAGCTTTTAGTGGTTGCCTGGGCTGCTGAAGGAACTGTTCCCGAGAGGAAGTGGTTTGTTCGAGTTAATGCTTAGGTTTCTGGAGTTCCTCTGTCTGTTCTCCATCACCTCTTAGATCATAGTGAATATCATGCCTGGCCCACAGCCTTGTTCATGAGCTTACAGATGTGACCTGAAAAGGTAGTATGTATTTGAAACATTTATTACAATACAAGGCACATTTCCTTAATCTCTGCCTCAAAATAACCCCTCCTTGCTTCAAACATGTTTATCCTATCATTTTTGACAATTTCTGAAGCAGTTGTAAAGGTATTCTTTCATGAGTGTCTTTAGTTGCTCTGTCATGGATGCCTTAATGTCCTGAATTGATTCAAAATATTTACCTTTCATGGTCATTTTCACTTGGGTCATATGATGCCAGATCCGGTGAATAAGGCAGATGACACACTGTAATGGTTTTACAAGCCTTCCTTTCTCCATGGGCTGCCACTCAGCAGCAGCATTCACTGTATTTTTGATTATGCCTCATACAGACTCTTATAAAAGAGAATTCTCAGAACTGCTTCAGAAAGTGGCAAGAAAGATGGGGTAAGTGTGTTCAAAGCAAAGGGGAGCATTTTGAGGAAGTTTAATGGCAGTGTTTAAATATTTTTTTTTTTGAGACAGGGTTTCGCTTTGTAGTGAAGACTGGCTTTGATCACTGTATAGCCCAGGCTGGCCTCGAACTTGCAGTGATCTTCCTGCCTGAGCCTCCTAAATGCTGGGATTACAGGCGTGTGCTACCACGCCTGGTGATGGCAGTGTCTTTTACTAAATCTTGAAAATTTAAACTTTCACTGTATGTGTTGATTACCCCTTGTACACATCTCTGCGCACATACAGCCTGGCTGGGTGCTGTCTTCTACCCCTTTGGTTTACACTTCTGGATATCCTGCCCTCTGCTTGCAGAGGCTGGCCTATATGTCTGGGTCTCTCCGCCCTGACCATGTCTTGGTCGTCTCATTAAATCTTCCCCCACTTACCCTGAGCATGCTGCTTCTGAGGCCCTGGGTGTCATACTTGTCAACTGCAGAAGCAAGCCAAAGCACATTCTGTTTCCGCCTGGGGACACAGAGGCCCTGGTTTGTCCTGCAGCCTCTGTTTTAAGGTGGCATTAATTGCATTCTACCAACTGATACCAGAGCTGTAGTTGGAGACCAACAAAGCCCTGAGAACTACTTGTCCATCATTTAGGCCTTGGAATAAACATGGGGGTATGTTTTAGAGCTCTCTGAACTGTGCACACCTTTGACACAATTCGAAATACCTTTCTGGGGTTTAAGTGGTGTGTATAGAGGCAATTTGGGCAAAGATCAATGGCAGAAAACCTGTCGCCTACTCTTCATATAGTTGGACCTTGACTACATTGTTTTCCTGCCTGTGGCTCATGAATTAACCTTTGAAGTAAGATTTTCCTCATCTCCCTTTAGATTTAGGGGTGTGTTAGTCAGATGTTATTTTGCAGGATTTGCTACTGTGGAGATGCGTGATGGCGAGGCTGTGGGTTTGGACACCAGATGGACCGGCACAGATTGTTATAATAAGAATATAACCCAGTGTTCAGTGCTTTCTGTGTGCGTGCACCATTGTCAGTGTATAACATGTGAGCGATTTTACTCCTCAACGCAGTCCTATGAGGTACACTAATCTTATTTTTTGGGGGTAGACTATCTTATTGTTCCCCCCTTTGCAGATGGGGAAATTGACACATAGTGAGGTTCAGAAACTTTTAAAGAGCCCCTCCGTTGGTGACTGGTAGAGCTGGGATTCAGAGGCAGGAGTCAGGCCCTGGAGTTTAGGTCCTAGCCCTCAGGCCAGGTGGTTGTGCCCATAACGCACAAAGCTCTGTGCCACTGGGTGCAGCAGGAGTGGGCTTCTAATGGATTTGTTCATTGCTCCGTCCATCCATTCAGCGGCCATGAGTCAAGCGCTACTATGGCAGGTGCTGTGCTTGTCTCCAGGGCTGTGCTGCTTATGCAGAGACCTCACCAAGAAGAGAACAGGCTCTGCCTCAAGAAGCTGAGGGCTAATGGGGAAAGGGTGATCCTTTACTACCCTGGAAAATGAATCAGAGACGCTTTGGGGGTCAGGAAGGTCCTTGGGGAGGAAGGGTGGCACAGGACTAATCATAGCTTCCTTGAGACGTCTGGAAGCCAGTTTTGGTGCTGTACCACTGTTTGTCGTACGTAGCCTCTTCTGGCAACAAGGTCTGAAACAGCTAACCACAGCCTGCCGCTTGTTTTTAGGTCATATAGTTAGTTAGCCACAGTGAAGATTAGGTAGAACAAAGCTCTAAAACTTACGTTGGCTTCCCTGTTTTAGTTGTCACTGGGAGTGGCAAGTGTGTGGGATGAGTCAAGGTGTCTGTGCCCTGAAAGTGAAAGGAAGCTTGGCGAGAGTGTTATTATTCTACAGTATTAATTAAGTCACATAAAGCCTTGTTTACCACAGAGGTGAGCAACTCTCATTCCTTACCAGCTGTCCGCAGCCCTAGTATTAAGTCTTTCCAAGTCATCTTTCCCGCCTGGGACCAGAGCAGCTGATTCCATGGAGCTTTAGACCTGCTCTCTACCTGTAATTTTCAGGTTTATTTTTAAAAAACATTCTTTTTCTCCTCTTAGGAAGTGTTTGCTGCAGGTGATTATGATTCAGGTATTTTGCTCCCTGCTCTGCACATATTTTCGGTCAGGCTGGTGTTTCTGAGCATACCTTTCCCTCCTGGCTTTTTGTTTCCAGTAACTGTTTTCCATATGCTGGATTTTGCTCTTATCTTTTATTCAGCAAACAGTTGGGTCCTATGTGTACCAGGCATTTTGTAGGGTACTGAGGATATAGGAGTGAGTGAGGCGGTCTTTACCCTTCAGGACATCACCGTTAATGGCGGCTGAGATGTCAGGCAGGTAAACACTGTGCTGGGAAAAATACAGAAGCAGAGGTGTGGTGAGGCAGCCCCAGTGTCCTGTCCGACATAGGAAGTGCGTGAGCAGAGGCGACAGGTACTCTGTGTTCAGACCTCACTGCCAGCAATACACAGGGAGCCGAGCATACACATGTGAGCTGCTGCCTTCCCACCATCCTCCGGCTCAGCCCCACCTCTTCTCTCCTCTGCCTCCTCCTCTTGCTTATCTCTCTCGCTCTCTGCTCTTAGGTGGCTCAAGACCAGCTGCTGATCTTGTGTGCCTCTCGGGGATGAATGGCAGCACGCTGTGGTCTAGTCCCCTCCCAGAAGAGGTCCAAGATGTCACATGTTTGGATCTGATGCCAGGCAGCGTGGCTGAAGTCATCTGTCTTGTGACTGGGACACACAAGATGCTCAGCGCATTCAATGCAACATCAGGTGGAGATCATTTGCCACAAGAGATCTTTGCTGTAATGAATCGTAATTTGGGATTCTAACAGGCTGGTGGGGAGGGGACTTTTCTACTGTGGCAGGATGGAAAGTCTGATGTGCTACCATAAAAGGTGGTTATTAAGGAACTAAGATAAGAGGTTTGGGCAGATTGAGTAAATAGATCCATGTTTCAACCTGCTTGTTGATAAGATGGGGCTAAACCCAGAAACTAGCCGGAGGCTTTTGCTTATGAATTTTCTGCCTACTCTGTCGAAAAGATAGATGAGCTGTGTCCCTTCCTATTTGATATATGTGGGGTCTGTGCATAAACTTAGGCATTAACTACCTAAAAATATTTCTGGGAAGAAAGGAATGCTTGTTGAGGCATGTTAATTTGGCCTTTCACCTTCTTACTGGGTTTGTTTTTGTTTTTTTTTTTTTTTGTTTTTTCTCCGGTACCAGGAACCGAACTCACGACCTTGCGCTTGCCAGGCAGGCGCTTTGCCGCTGAGCTAAATACCCAGCCCCTTCTTACTGGGTTTGGACATGACAAAAAGAATGCAAAGCAATCCAATGTAATGAAGCTTCCTTATAGAATCAAAAGTAGCCTGCCAGTGTGCAGGTTACCGCCTGAGAAAAAGTCGGCTACAGTGCCTTGTGCCTCTAATCCCAGCTTCTTAAGGGACTGAGGCAGGAGGATCAGTTGAGCCTAGGAGTTCAAGACCAGCCTAGGCGACCTAACAGGATCTTGTTTCAAAGGAACAACTCCTCTCACCCCGCAAAAAGAGAGAAAAAGCCATACTAGTGATCACCCTCTTTGTCCTACCCCAGGGAAAGCCATGTGGACGCTCAGCCCAAACTCCCTGTCCAACGGCACCTTAGCTGCCCCTGCAGTGGTGCTGCCTGACTTGGATGAGGATGGCGTTAGAGATCTGGCAGTTCTGGCCATTGGTGAAACACAGGTATGGTCTCTATGAACTGTTTTTTTTTCTCTTACAGAGAAAACTTTATTTTTAGTTATCATAGTTCCTAATGTTGTAAATGCTTGAAAGTTTCTTTTTACACAAAACAAAGTGTAAATAAATTCACCTGGTGAGGTTAAGTGAATGAATGAGCATGTAAGCCCATTTTCCCAGAAGTCTCCTTACGGCTGCAGGGACTGTGGTGCAGTGAGCTCTGGGTGTGGGCGTGGCTGTGTCTGCCACCATTTGCAGCCCTGTGGTTTGGGCAAGCCGTGGGACTTCCCCAAGCTCTGTTTTTTTTTTTTTTTTTTTTTTCTTTTTGAGACAGGGTCTCGCTATGCAGTTCAGGCTGGCCTTGAGCTTACTTTGTAGCCCAGGGTGGTCTCCAACTCGCAAAGATCTTCCTGCCTCAGCCTCCTGAGTGCTGGGATTACAGGTGTGCGCCACCACGCCCAGCCCAAGCTCTAGTTTCTTCAGGCGTAAAAAATTGGACTATTTCATCTGGTTGTAGGTTTGCTGTGAAAATTAGAGTTGAACACATTTCAGGTTCCTAAAGTAGAGCCTACTTATTATATTTTAAAATGTATTGTTAGTTTTAGTATATTAAATATATTTAAATTATACTTCAACTATAAAATAATAGGACCGCTTAGTAAAATGTTCATAAAATATGTATAGAAAAAAAATTTAAGTCAAACAATAACATGAATAGCCAAAGAAAACAGAGTTATAGTCTATGCTATGACAAGACAAGGCTGATTCTAGTATACTGCCCCTTAAATGATTGTCCTATGAGCTGCCTGGATTCACAGCATTCTGGGAGGCTGAGGCAGGGGGATTGAAGTTGAGCCAATCTGGACAATTTAGTGACTTAGTGAGACCCTGTCTTTAAAAAAGGGGGGAGGGAAGGCTGGGGATATAGCTCAGAATGAAGTCCTGGGTTCAAGCCCCAGTACCACAAAAAGAAAAAAAAAATCATCCTATTAGTTATGCAGCTAGCCATTCTGTATAGAGATAAAGGAACAGTATTTTCTCCAAATTGCAGGAAAGATAAATGAGTGAACAAAATCATCTCAATTTTAAGTTTTTGTTCCTGAAGCACTTTTTAGAACTTCTTCTCTTTTTTTGGCCATGTAGTTCAGGCTGGTCTTAAACTCACTACTCAGCCCAGGCTGGCCAAGAACTCACAGAGATCCTCTTGCCTCAGCCTCCTAAATGCTGGGATTATAGGCCTGTACCACCATGCCCAGTTTTTTTAGAGCTTCTGTCAAAATTTTTCTAAGACATTTTTCTCAGATTGCCTAATCTTCCAAGGAAATGCTTGTGGACTAAAAAATTCAACAAATGGCAAAATGAAAAATGTAGATATAGAAATGTGGGAGTATGTGGATACAGATAATTTTGCCTCATTTTGTAGCTGGTTTTAATTTTAAAACAAAAGACTTCATGGGTACTTTCTGTTGGTTTTCTTCAACAAGCTGTTTGGTCTGGAATTGGACCAGAACTAAGAAATTAGGAATTATTCAAGTAACTTTTGTTTTTTTTTAAAAACCCTAGCCATTGTGACTAAAGGGATAGGTCTAGGGAAAATTTCAAGTATTACCTCAAGTAGAGAGATTTTTCTGAAAGTCTCCTTTAGAATTTCTTTCTAATGGCACTCCAGTCAGCACAGGCAGAGCAGAGCCTTGAATATGTTTTTATGTCCTGAACAAATTTAAAGTCTTGGTCTTTATACTCCATCTCCTCCTTATTACCAGTGGTGGTTGAGGGATTTAGGGTTCAGGCTTTTAGGGACTGGCCCATAGTAAGGGGCCTGCCTCCACTGAAGAATCAGCTTCTCATTTGCTCTGAAGTTGGTCGTGTATCGCCCTGCTTGCTTCTTAGAGCTCACTCATTAGCACTGTAGTGCATAGCTGTGGAATGCACTCCATTCTGTGTGAAAAGCAACAGTCACTTCTAGAAAATACTTGGAGAGATGATGGGTTTGGAGCAGCAGCTTCCTTGTTGTTCTGACCTCTTTGCCCTTATCAGCAATAGAGAACGGGAGGAAGTATTTAAGCTACACTCATGGAAGGTGATCTCTTCTTCAGGAAGGAAACACCTTGGGCCTTTGATTTAGAGTCACTGCATTCTCCAGAGCTGAGCTGGGAGAGCTGGGCCAGCGCTGGAACTGATGTGGTTGCGGATGTCGAGGGAAGGGGCCTGGGAAGCCGGTGGTTGCTGTTCTCACACCGCGCTGTAATCTGAGTTGATTCCAGATCAGCTGGTCCTGGGTCCTCCTTGAGCATGTGGACAGCTGGTGTGAATGTTGCTCATTTGCATTTCTGGTCAGCTCTAGAAACTTCTGTCCTGTTGATGAGAAGTGAATTTTGCAATAGCTTCCACTCATTGTTCAGTGTCAGGGCCATAGAACTTGTCTGAATGAGTCTAATCCGCAACCACAGGAAAGCCCTGGGCCATTGGCCTAGTCCCTCTAAACCTAGAGCATTTTCTTATAGTTTCTCCATCAGCAGGAAGTCAAAAGCCCCTGATTTCTTTCACTTTGCTTTCTAATTTATCCAACATTTAAAAATGCAGTGCTCCTATTTGCAAACAGCAGTTTATTCATAGCATAGTCAGTTATATCAGCTTAAGCATTTGTTACTCTTTTTTTTTTCTTTTTCTTTTTTTTTTTGGTTTTTGGTTTTTCTCCGGTAACGGGAACCGAACTCACGACCTTGCGCTTGCCAGGCAGGCGCTTTGCCGCTGAGCTAAATCCCCAGCCCCTTGTTACTCCTTTTGATGAGACTGTTTCTATTTTGCAAGTAAAGATTGTAATAGCCTTTCTAAGATTTTTATTTTATAATCAATGAAAGCACCCACACCTTGTAATTAATTAATATACCAACTTTTAAAAAATTGATGTTTGCCATATAGCCATACATAAAATTTGTATTTTTAAATTTTTTTTAACTTTCAAAATTTTAAAAAAATTTATATTTGTTTTGAGGAATATGTATATATTCCTTTTCTCCTCCCCTCTACTCTATATAGCAATTTTTAAATAAATTTTTATTCATCTTGTAGCCAAAGACCTGTTTGAATTTCAAGTTTATCATATATCATAGTAGCCAGACCTCCTAGCTTTGTGATAAACTTGAATTCTCTTTATTCAGATCCTTGTTAAGAATATTTAAGGAATGGGCCCATAGCAGAGTGCTGTGTCATTCCATTAAAAACCTCTCTCTGGGTTAGTTTTGACCTCGTAAGTCCCCTTTTCTGGGTACTCTGCAGCCCATATTTCTTTATTTTGTCCCTAAGAATCCACAATGATAAATTTTGTCAAGATAATCAGTACAATTCTTGTATTTCCCAATTGATAACTCTGTCCTCAAAAGAAGAACCCTGTAGAGCTGGGGTTAATAAACTGTGGCCAGATTTGGCCTACTGCTTGTCTTTATAAGTAAAGTTTTACTGAAATACAGTCATGGCCACTCATCTTTGTGTTATCTATGACTGCTTTCATGCTGCAGCAGCAGGGTAGAACAGTTGCTATCGAGACCATCTCTCTGGCAAAGACTGAAATATTACTCTCTGGGCCTTCATGGGAAAGGTTTGCTGCTCTCTGAGAATACGTTGACAGTGGCCTGACCAGACATGGGATGTGATGACGGGGAAGCTCTGTCTATATTGATTCTACTTGGGGACAAACATTCCTGAGAGTTTCTGGGAATGGGAGTGGAGACCTGGGGTCAGGCACATGGTATTTAGCTCTAGGCTGGAACCTTGTGCCTGAGCAGACTGGTTGTTGCTGTAGTCAGCAGCAACTGTGCTCAGGGAAATTGTCTATAGTACCCTAAGGATGGCTTTTGTACCTATGGCGTATTTGCTTCATTTCTTACTTCCAGGGAAATAAGAGAGGCAGAGTTGGCTTTGTGCTTCTCTCAAATGAGGGAAATACTTGTGAGCCCTTAGCTGACAAGGAGGCTGTGACTGTCTGAAGAAGCTATTGGAGTAGGAATGGAAGGCTTTTATTAATTTGATCCTTCTTTCATTTCTTCAGCCAGACGTGTACTTTCTGCTGGTGTCTGGCCAGACAGGGAGCCCAGTGGGCCGACCCGTGAAGTACAGCATCGTGGGAGTGGGGAATCTGATTGGTCCTCAGGTGCACATCACGGCCAGTGGGGCTGTCTACATCCTGTTTGGCTTTGGTAAGAAGCAAGGCTGGTTTTCACTGCTGTTCCCCACAGGTTTGTGTTGAGGCTTGCCTTGTAAGATGGGGTGAAAACCCGGGGTTGCAGTGGGCAGCCCTTCCGTTGCCTCTTAGGCAGGCATCTGTCTCTCGCCTCCCTAAGGTAGTAGTTAACTCCACTTTCCCTTGCTGCCTTCTCTAGAGAGAAGATTCGGTCCAGCATCCACTTAACCACTTTCCCACCCACTGCATGTGGGACCACCCCAAAGAGGTTCTATTAGATCCATCTGATTAGACTATCTTTTTTCAAACCCCTACCCTAGGATATTCTATTAAATTCAACTTCTCAGTGTTGGTTCTTCCTATGGTGCTAGGAAATATACAGGCTGTCGCCCTGCGGGACATTTTTGTTCAGGCCCAAAATCGAGACAGCTCACCACCTTCTCTGCAGATAGAAGAGCCAGAATGGGAGAAGCGGAGATCCATCAACCTGTCTGAGCTCATTGACATATACAGGTAGGGCAGACACCTGTCCTCGGTCCCACTGAGGTCTGTGAGCTCACATGCTGTGGGGACTCTTAAGCTTGGTTGAGCCAGTGAACGTGTGGACAGGGATCCGAGGGAAGCAGTGCTACCCTTAAACCATCTTCTTATCTGGGAGACATGAATGAAAAATTTTCTTTTCTTAGTCACATAAGGTGTTGGTGTCTATGTGTTAGTGACTTTGCACTATCATCTCATACGTAGATTTCAGGGAAGGAAATTTGATTAGAGTTCTGAATCAGTGCCAAGACAGGGAGATAGATTTATTTAAAACGATGGTTTATAAAGCTGTGCAGATGTTGCCAACTCTTACCGTACATTTTTCTGTTAGTTGAAGAATCATATTGACAGAAGCAGGCATTGTGACCATGAAACCTTACTTTTTCTTATTTATTTCTTATTTATTTAAGAATAGTCAAGTTGTATGCAGTCCATTTTTACCCATTTAACCAAGTTCAGGTAATGATTTTGGTATTTTCTACCAGGACTTTCAAATCATTTTTCTAGCATTTTCTTAGGGATTATCATGTTGTTTTAGTGAATTTGACAGGTATTAAATCAACTAGTCTCCACAATTAGAGGAAGAAATGTGTGCCAGTAGTTGCTGCCAAACTTATTGACAATATTAGGCCTCCTGTCTGAGTCTCTGTCTGTTTTCCATGCCATTGTCCCTGGCTGTGTTACTTTTTCCAGTGTATCCAGTGTAAGAGGCACTGGACCATAGCATATTTCTTGTGCGTTCCTTTTGAACTTGCATTGAATTTTCTGGGGGTCCTGGGTATCTAAGGTGAGGAAGAGATTGAATGGGAGCAGCCAGCACAGGGTCCACTTGATAAGACATGATTGGAAATGGGTTCGAGACTACAGTTGGCTCTATGTATCTGTGCATTCCAGATTTGTGGATTCAACTAATTTCAAATTAGAAATAGTGGGAGAAAATTGTGTCTGTCCTGAACATGTGCAGGCTTTTTTTCCTTGTCATTATTCCCTAAACAGTTTAGTATAACAACCATTTACATAGTATTTACACAGCACTAGGTATTGTAAATAATATGGAGATGATTTAAAGTATGCAGGAGGGTGTAGGTAATGGAAATATTATACTGTTGTATGTAAGGGATGTGAACATCTGTGGATTTTAGTATCAATTTCTTTATTTTTTTTTTTGGTACCGGGAATTGAACTCATTGCCTTGTGCTTGCCAGGCAGGCTCTTGTGCCACTAAGCTATATCCCCGGCCCTGGATTTTAGTATCTAAAAGCGGTCCTGGATCCAATCTCCCACAGATACTGAAGGACCAGTGTATATGGAGACAGAAGTACAGTGAGAGAAAAGTCCAAAATACATGGATTCTGGAAACTATCTATGCTAAAAACTAACTGTTGGGGTCTTGTTTAACTCAGTGATGGTGTTGAGCTACTCCAGATGGTGAAGATGCCTGATTCCAACTGCAGCAACCTCCTGATTACAACCAGACAAGGTCTGGTTTTGCTTCGAGGGCAGAACCTTACACCTTACTGGACGTTGAGTCTCCCAGGCCTGCGCAGGTTGGCAGTTGCTGTTTCGGTCCCTTTCCCTATGTTTAAAAATTATGTATATAACTGCTTGATATCTGTGGCTGGTGCAAAAAGAAGGGAGGGTAGGAGTTCCTTGTTTTCCTTCCTCACTATTGATTGCTTCTTTATTCTTGCTTGCAGCCAGCCTACTCCTGGGTATTTCACCGATGATCAGACATTAGACTTCCTTCTGCAGACACAGGAAGTAGTTGGGATGAAAAAGGTAAAAAAACCCCAAAAAACCCTGGGACACAAATGAAAGCATATATAAAGTTTATACTTAGTGCCCAGCTCTTTGCTCAGCCTTGTGTAGATTAAAAAGAACCTAAAATATGATCTCTTCCTTCAAAGAGCTCAAAGTCTAACTGAATGGGTAAAATGAAAATTCACACCAGTATTTGCACTGAATACTTACCTTTTTTCATCACTATTCTCTAATAGGTGTAACAGTTATTTACATGTCAATTACATTATATTATGTATTATATTAGGAGATGATTTATGTGTGCAGGGGGATGTATATAGGTTATACGCAAATACCACATATAAGGTATTTGCTTAATACCACATATCGAGCATCCACTGATTTGGGTGCCCATAGGGAGCTCCCCCACAGTACCCTGGGAGCACTGTATGTGTATTATTTGAATATCTGTGGTGGTCTCTTTTCGTTTTGTTTTTGTGCACTCTCCAGCCACATTCACTATCTTCTCTCTTGCAGATGATGGTGGTGGACGGTGACTCTGGCTCTATCATTTGGAGTTACAGTGCTCCATGTCACATGAAAGAAACCCTGACCACCTCAGCAGTTACTTCAGACCGGAAGTCCGTCTTTCTGTTTTGGGCAGAAGGGCTGTCAGCTGCACCTCCCAATTCTGTGAGTGAGCCTGGGCGGTCCCTCTTTTACTGCGTCACATGCCAGGAGCTCTTTGGGAGCTTACGGGGGTCTCAGATGTTATTTGACCAGTCATCTTCCAAGGGGTTGGGGTGGAAACAAACTAGCATTCCCATGAGAAAAGCAGGAGCCATACTTTCCATCTTTGCCTTTTTGCCAAGAATGTAAACGTTGACCAGAGCCCCTGACTACTGACAGCCAACAGTAGGGGGCTGGATAAACTGTAAAAGATCCTCTCAAGAGACTAGGTCCAAATCTACAGATAACTCCTACATGCTGCAGTTGTTGAGGAGAAATCAATATGATTGGTGCAGAGTGGGCAGAAGTCGTCTCTTGTGGGGATGGAACTCTGAGGTGAAAGAAGAGACTGCAGGTGTGGGTATGGGGTGGGAGGCAGAGCTGTTGGGGAGGAGCGTAGATTGGGCTCAGCGGAGTGATCAGTTGGGGGAGCTGTGAAGGAGAAGGTCTGACACCTAGAAGGCAGACGTTAAGATGTGTCACGTGTTATACTGCAGTATTCTAATAGGGCTGATGAGACAGGGTGCCACCCAGGAGAGGTGCGTTGGAGTCTTTAATAAGCACTGCCCCGACCTTTGTTCCATCCAACACGTCTTGACCCAGTACTCACTGTGTGCCAGGCCCTGAGCTGTTTGTGGGGATCTCAGGATAACTGGAAGCAGTCTGGACCCTCTGGAGATGGCAGATGGCCCAGGGTTAGGGGAGCCTGATGCCTGCTGAGTCCTGCGTTCATCACCGTGTGCTCTCCTGACAAGTTATTTAACATTTCTGAGCTTCATGTCCTTAATCCATTAATAAAGGTGCTAATCTATCCCCTTGCTTTGAGAATCAAATTTACCTAAAACCTAGATTATAGCTCTGCCATGCCCTAACATGTGGCCACAGGCAGTTTACCTAACATTTTAATTTCCTGGTTTCCTCATGTAGTAAAATGAGGGGATTAGACCAGATGGCTCTCGAATATGAGCTTCTATAAATAGCAGCACAAGGGCATGTTACAAACGCGCTACTGGAGGTACAGGTAGGAAGTGTAGATGGAGGAACAAAAGATGCTGCCTTTGCTTGGGGAGACTGGGGGCCTTTTCGTGAAGTGGCATCCACACTGGGGATCTGAGGACAGGAAGTGTTTTGATATGTGGAAATGAAAGTGTGGTTAGACAGTCTGACAGGGGGATAAGGTTGGCAACGGGCAGCTGAGAAGCAACGGGAAGCATGCCGTGAGGGTGACAATCAGACATTCTGCAAGCATAGGTGGGCAGTAAATCATTGCAGTTGAAGTCGGGAGAAGGGAGGTTTTAATAGTGTAAAACTTTGCTTTTTGTGCTATGGATTTTGGGCCTCATTCTGTAGGCAGTGAGCAAGGCATCTGGCTATTTTCCGGCCACTTTAGTGGAGCCAGGGCTCTGTCCCTGCATACCTGGGTGTGTGAAGATGCACTCTGCCGCTTTGTGGGCCTGTGGTGGGAGCGAGCTTGTGAGCTCCTGTGCACGTTTCTCCTCATTAAGCGAACTTTTCCTTCCATGGCTGCGCATGTGTGTCCCTGCCACAGCCTACCCCTCACAGAGGTCGCACTGATGATGGCCCCATTGGAGGCCTGGTGCTAGGCCTTGGAATTTTGGGTTTATAATGGATTTGCTTGTGCCTGATCAGTACTCTGCTTATTTCAGGAACTGATAAGATTTTTATAAATTTTAACCTGTTTCTTGCAGTTGGCTTTGACATCTAGAGAAATGAAAGATCTTTGGCTCACACTGTGTTTTCAGAAGTAGATTTTTCTCTCTACAAAGCCCCACCTGCTGCAAGGAATGAATCAGTACCCTCGTTCTCCTGCAGGCAGAAGGAGGGTTATTCTCTGCAGCATGTTCCTCTTGGGGCACGCACATTTCCTTTCTTTGTTTTTTCTCTTATAAGAGGGCATTTTCTAGCTATAAATAGAGATTTGAAGAAGTTACTGATGAGTCAGTGTTTTGAGCTCTGTGAGATAACATGTCTCCTGCAGATGGGAGTTTCTTTCAAACATGTCCTTGCAATTGGGAAGGAGAATTGAGCACCCGAGAGGAATGAGTAACCACCACCTTTTTCTCTGCCCGTTTCTCCTGTCCTGTGTGGGAATGTAGAGTTACCTTTGCTCTTCCTTTTTGTGGCTTATTGTCAGGATGTCATCCTAGCGGCTGATCCACCCAGCCTTTACCACCTTTACCTCCTGCATCCAACCTTCCCCTCCATCCTGCTGGACCTGTCCAATGCCACAGGCACAGTGACGGCCTCAAAGGGTGAGTCCGTGATGGGGGTCCCTGTGCGCGGACAAGGGGAGAATGTGCACCGGCTGTGTAGGGAGGGACCCTTGCCCCAGTAAGGAAAGGACTGTGCTCTGTGATAACAGTAGTATTTTCTCTAGAGTCCCTGCAGGTAGGGGAAATGGCCGTTCTGAAAGGCTCCAAGGTGGGGGAGCATTTACTGAGCCTTGATTATATGCTGGGATTGTGCCAGAGGCTAAGACATGCGGGACTAGGTTATCTTTTTCCTCAGTTTTCTTTTTTTTTTTTTTTTTACCTCTTAGGGGCATATAATATGGAACTGAGGGACATGAGGGAGGTAGAATAGTTTTTCAGGGCATTGACTTACTGGAGCTTTTTGAATAGTAAATATGCACACTGCATAGAAATAAGAGTCATTGTATAGATATTAGAGTCAAGAGAAAAATCAAAGGAGAAAAGAAAAAATGCCCATAATCTGATTACTGATTATGACATTTGGAATTGTTTTACTGTATGTGTTTATCCAAATAAAACTGTAAAGCAGAACTGGGGCCGTATATTAGAGACCCTTAATTCAGGAAACCAAGGACCTGAAACTCGGCCACTGCCGCCTGCTTCTCTGGGTTGTCTGCTGGCCTCCTCCTCACAGGTGCAGCCTCGGGCAGCTGCTGTTCCTGTTGAGGGCAGGGAAGGGGAAGCTGGGTCTGGCCACATCTTTATGGCTTTCCACTCCTTGCCACTTCCACACTCCTTTGCCTCTGGTTGAAGCAGTGGGAGAAATAGCTGACCCGGAACACTCAGGCCGGCTGTCCACAGGCTGCGTGTGTCATGTCAGTGTGCAGAATTCTCTGAGTGATCTAAATGAGCTACTTTTCCAATATTAGCAAAGAAAAATATTCAGGGAATGTTGAATAAGGTTAAATAATAGCAGTGAGAATCTTGAGACCATTTTTATTATAACCACTATTTTAAAGAGGAAGCAAAAGTAGATATGGTGGTGCACACCTGTAATCCTAGCACTCTGGGAGGCTGAGTCAGGAGGATCACAGGTTCAAACCCAGCCTGGGTAACTTAGTGAGACCCTGGCTGAAAATGAAAATTAAAAAAAAAAAAAAGATTAGGCAAAGCCAATACTAGTGAGGTAAAGAGCTTGTGTGACCATGCACTGGCAATCCAGGGATCTTGGGCTTTCTAGTCTGGCTCATTTTTGTACTGAATGTGTGCCATAGTGGGTATGTTCTCTCATTTGTTGAGTTGAGGCTTTCTTGGACACGGCTTCAGAGCAGTAAAGGTGCACAGACAGAGGCGGCAATCTGCCAACACAGTCTCTCAGCTCTGCACCCTTCGTGCTCAGTAAAGTTCCCGTATGAATTAATGCGTGAATGAATGAATGAATGTTGCTGAACAGAATCACTCTCCTACTAGTAGAAGCCGTCTGTCCTTGTTAACAGCTTTCCTTTTTGTTCCTCCTCAGTTGGAATCAATGACCTCTGGAAAGATGCCTTTTATGTCACCAGGACAACGGGGCCAAGCCCCGAAGGGCATCCTGCACCCGTGGTGGTCAGCAAGCTGAGCCTTCGGTGGGCACTGATGGAGAGCCAGATGGTCCAGCTGAAGGAGACCACCCCCAAAATCGGCAGGGGAGAGCTGCGAAGATTCCTCTCTAGGATAAAGTTTGTTGATTCTCCCTATCAGGTGGATACCTTCTGAGATGCGTGGTTACTCTTGAGGGCTTGGGACAAACACCACAAACAGCAGCTTTGATCGTTAGGGAGCATGGGGAGCATTTTTGAGTAGATGAGTATCAAAACCCAGTCATTTTGGACCAGTACTGTTTCCCAAGGGTACTTCCTGACCAGGCAGAAATGGTTCTGAGTTAATTGTTTTCAGATGGAAATGGTTGTGTCACCCTTAGTGGAATTTGGAAATGTGGGGTCATGGATTTTATTGTCCAGTGAGGTGGGTGGTGTGGAACCTTCTCCCATTTGCTAGGTAGGGCCCGGCAAGGATGCTGACATCATGCAGGGCCCACAGCAGTTGCACATTACAAACAATTACCTTGCTGAAAATGCTAATGTCTGTTTCCCACCCCCTCTTCCCTCAAACACTCTGGTCTAGTTCAAAGCTCAAGAGCTTATCAATGAAGAAGGGACAAAGTCTCCAGGCCTTTCTGGAGGGAGAAAGAGTAAACTATTGGGGCTAAATGAGAAGACAGGAGAATGTAGTCTGACCTTTAGATTTCCCTCATTTCTTTGAAAATTTCTAACATGAAAAAATACAAAGTTACTGACACTTCCCCCTTTTACCACAGGTTTAATGGAATCTTCAGTTTCAGAAGTAATCAAGAGTGGGTCCCTTCTCTCTGCTGTCAGTGTAAAAGCAATTCCTTGGGGAGAGGAAGACTTCGGCCTTGTCTAAGCACTTCCACATGACTGATCTTTGCACTTTGGAAGGCTGTTGGAGCTGCGATAACGCATGACCTGCTTGGCTGGGGTATCACACCACCTTTCCAGTTCCCGCATTAACCCTCTCTAGGAACTCTATGTGGATAGTTTGGAAATGTGAATCTTCTAGGTGTTTTTGTTTTGTACATATAATTTATAAACTGTTGCTGGGAAATCCAGTAAAGCCTATAACTAGGACATATTTTGTTTTGCATTATGCTGCGTGTATATATTTTTCGGTGTTGTGGTGAGATTATTTCCAGACATGCCCTAAGCTTCAGGGATCCCATTTCTTGTCCTCTGGAAAAACATGTGGTTTGGTCACCTTGAGACTTGCAGATGGCCTCCCTGTTTCTGAGGGTCACCCATCTCTCTCCTCCCGTACCATGGCAACATCTGAGCTGTAGACAGCAGAGAAAGAGATTGCCAGGGGAGGACAGAGGTGTCCATCTAGCGTTTTCATCTCTTCTTTCCCCAGACATCCTATCTTTAAGTGGCCATGAGAATAGGCATGTTCCTATCAGAAGGGGAGCGAGAGAAGAGTTTCAGTGGCTCACCTCTACCCAGGTCCATGTGTTGTGTTTTTGTTGGCTGTGCCAGTCATGACCTCTGTCCCTGCAGCAATGTCAGAAGGGCACGAGTGCATGCTGTCTGCATCTCAGGGGGCTGGAGTCAGGGCCCAGGAAGCGCATGCCCTTTCCATCCTCCTTGCCTCCTCTTACCTTGCTTTCTCCTTTATTCAGGGATTTGTTTCTGGACTATTTTGCTACTTGAGTCCAGTATGCAACCATTTTGCCCTCCATGTTCCCTTACAGAGCCTTTGAAGCTTGTATTTTGAGAAGATTCTTATGTAAATACTATAAATTTTATAAGTGATTAAGTTCTTTAGAATTATTTCCAGCACTTACTTTCCCCATTCTTCTATATAAATTTGTTACTTCTAGGTCATTGTCTATATAGCAGAAAATCCAGTGGTAGCTGATGAAAAAAAAACCCTGCTTTTCTGCTTGAGTAATTTTGATAGACCATCCCTGAGTGAAAATCAGGTTTTGTACCTTCTTGGTCTACTTTCTTTTTAGCTTGTTTTAGTCAAGAGAGTCCAGAACATGATGGATTCAAGATTTCAAGGGATATTTATTAATTGCCCACTGACAGGTGTTAGCAGGGGATTAGTAGCAATAGATGCAAGTAGATATATTGTTTGGCTTGCAGATTGTCTGGCTATGGATTGGCCTTAGTGGGTTTCTGGGTACCTCTACCTTAAGACCATGAAAGTGTATTTGCTTTCAACACTTCTTAAGTTGTGGGTGGGTTCAGCTTGACTTTAGTAGAACAGTTAAGAGAATACCCTTAGTATGGGTATCTTCACTTTAGATTCTTTTCCAGGCATTTGAATCTACTTGGGTATAAGGGTCTGGGATCACAGTGATGGCAGACCTTTGAGAGCTTTTAGTAATAACAAACAGCCTGCTGTGGCATGCATGGCATAAGTTTGCCAACACTGGCCTAGGATATAGTTCTCAGGACTAATGTGTAGTGGACCGAAGCCCCAGACTGGTAATGGTCCTATGGCTTGGCTGAGCCATCCAGGCATAACCTGTTCTCTACCATGTTGAGGCTTTCTGGGAAACCAGCCAGCACAGACAGGAAGAAAATGCAAGTTGTTTATTGAAAATCTGCTTGGCTGGGATTTGTTTGGACGGAGGACTATGTGTGTATGCAAGTTAAGTCTCAGACACAGGTAAGAGGAATCTAGAAAATAGTGCAACTGAATTCTATCTCTTAAAAACTCCATTGTGTAAGTTTGAAGCCCTCCTTGCTAAACACAATGAAAGCTCTAGTTTTACTTCCTCTTGAAGCTAGTACAGAAGGATATAAGGGCTGCTGAAGATCGAGGGAGATTCACCTGAGTGATGCGGGTGCTGGTCTCTTGTCCAGTGTGCCCGTGAACCACCCGCTCCTTGCAGGCAGCTACTCAGCCCAGATATCCAAGACAGGAAGCGCTCCTTTCTCTTCCCACCCCAAACTCAGGCTTTCCAGCACAGCCAGCTGGACCACTACTTAGTGGCAGTAATGACTTCTAGAAATGCAAGGGCTTTCTCCTGTCGATCTCCATTTCCTTCCCTTGCAAACCCTCCCCTCTGTACTAGGCAGGATCCTCACTAGCCCCCAAATGTGTGGCATGGTTCTCCCAACTAACCTCATGAATGTGAATTGCTGTCCTTATTGCCCACATGAAAGGAGAGCCAGCTGGTCTGTTGTCCGAAAGTACTATTTAAAATGTGAACTGTTATAGAACAAATAAATACCGTGTACCGGAATGTACTTGTGTGTCATTCTTGCTCTTCTTGCCATTGAGGTTGGTTTGCTTCCTCTTAGGGGAAAAAGGATGTCTGGGTGGATGGGTTTCTTTGTGGAGGAAAGGGGAGGGCAAGCTTTGCAGAAGGGAGAGAGTAGGTGGCGTCCAGAGAGGAGCCTCTGCCCTGGCCTGGTTCCCTGGAAAAACCCTGGTCTGATTCTGAGCACCACAGTTGCATCTGAATAGCCTTTGTAGGCCATTTCTAGAAATGAACCTATCCTTGTGGGCTGTAGAAGCCTTTGTGTACCATGCCACCCTTCTAGTGGCTTTTGGGGTAATATTTACTAGCACTTTCCTGTGTGCTTGCGATGTGGACGTGGGTCGCTGTAGCAGGCCGTGTGGAGGACACCTTCCTATCAGAGCACTCAGCAGCACTTCCATCTTCCAAGCTGTGACTTCTGGAAAGACACCAGTGCACCAGGGACTGTTGAGCCCTAGTCAAACTGTGGTTAATTTGCTTACCTCTGTTTGTCTAGTTTCTAGAGAGATTATCCAATTACCAGATTTCTAAGACCCCCCTAGAGGGAGGAATTGTATTTCACTCCTCCTTTATCTCCATTGTTTAGTGCAGAACCTGGCACATAAGCAATCAGTGAAGGATGAGAAGAGAATTCTGGACGTAGGAGATACAGGGGATGGACACAGTGAGACAGCTGTGAGGGAGAAGGGGTAGTGGCCATGCCTCTCAGGGCTTGTACTTCAAGATACCCTTGTTCTTAACTTCTAAAAACCATGCAGAGACAGACTTTGGCTTAAGCAGATGTTGATAACAAGTAACCACGTAAGGTAGGGTTCAGCCTGCTCTCCAAACCCACTTAACTCCTAACACTGCTCTTCCTTTACAGATGACTCAGCCACTTCTTTCAGCTCAGGGCTGGAGCCTTGCTGAAATGCCTTGTCTTGTAGCGCTGAGTAGAAGTCAACACCTTCCGAGACAGAATGGACGGGCTGATTGTGGTACTGGTGGTAGCTGATCAAAGGACCCCCTGGGTGGGCTGCACAGGACAGCTGCTGGAGGAAACACCGGTGGTGATTGGGTAGGCAACTCGGGTTTTCTTTGAAGCTCTTACTGTGCCTGCACTTGAACTCCAGCACCATCCTGGTGTACGTATTGAAGGTAGTGACAGCCGATGCCATGCAGCAGGTGAAGGAAACCCAGGCTGTGCTAGGGGCACACACAAAAAAGGGACAGAAAAAGCATGACTTTCTTGAAAGAAAAATGCCATTATCCCTTCCCACTAAGCTGATGCCTTTTGGGGACTTGGGGGCCCAAGTGTGCTGCCTTCCACCATGTTTCGCGTGAAGAACCAGTGTGTCTCAGCATGTTGCTCAGTGGTAGTGCCCTTGTCTAGCACACGCATGGCTCTAGGTTCAATCACTGATACTGGCAAAGAAAAAATAAATTAGCCTGTAGCTGTAGCTCCGAGGTGGAGCATTTACCTAGCATATGCAAAGCCCTGGGTTCTATTCTTAGCACACAGAGGTGGGGGTGCAGTGAAAAGAGGAAGGAGGAGGATGAGCCCATGAACCTTGTAGAACAAAACTAAACAAGGAATTCAGTGGAGTTGTGCTGTGCCTATTTTGTATGTATATATCCTTCTTCCACAGCTGCAGTTACCCATGATTCCACAGACCTGATCCCCTTCCTCTCCCTTTCTCACCCCACCCTGCCAAAGATTTCCTCCTTTACTCAGGTGCCAGAAGAAATCTGCCTCCCCTTTTTCTTTAACCCTTCTTTGTTTTGAACTGAGCAGTCTTAGGATCCATAAAGTTGGGCCTTTGAGAGTCATTCATGAAAACATTAGTACAAATCTGAGGAAATTATTTGCTTATTCTGAAAACAGTGTGGTTCTTGGCTTCAGGTAGTTTATAATGGATGCTCCAAGAGAAGCTGGAGGTTAAGAGAAGCTGGAGGAAATCAAGAAAGACAAAGACACATTAGGGAACCATATCAAACACATTCCTAAAAACTTGGAACGCGAAACCCCTAAATCTCCCTGTGATTCTGGGAAGCTCTGGGAGCAGGAAGTTTTGTGAGGTTAGCAGGGCTGTCATGTGGCCAAGGGATGGTTAAAGCCAGGCCGCAGCTGGTACTGGATGTTCCCATCTGCTGCCTCTGAAAAACTAGGCAGCTTCAGGCCGGGCGACTTCCTGGTGGATGTTTTGCAGCCCAGCTCCCCAGATGCAATGCCGAGGGCCTGAAGGTAGAAGAGGTGAGAAGTGGTGGGTTGGGGAAATGCTAGGCTGATGCAGTGGCAGGGGAGTAGACCAAAGGCTCCTGAACCAAAGGGCACACATGGCACCATGAGGAAAGGGCACAGGATCTCATACCAGACACGGGTTGGTGTGCCTGAGGCCTTCATTCCAATGCAAACCTGAGCTTAGCACTGCCTTCTCTGTGCTGTCAATGCACATATCATGTGCCCTGGGCAGTTAATGGGAGTCCAGGTTGGCAGCTTCACAGTGAGTAAAGAGAAGCGCTTCTCGCAGGAGAAGGTGGGGGAGCTTTTAAAGCCAGTGTTGGGGTTGAGTGTATGTGTTTTTCTGGCTGCTTTTCTCTTTTTAAGAGAAATTCAAAACGACTGACCCTTTAGTTCTTTAAAGAATAGAGAATCACTGTGGGTAGGGAAGTTTATCTCGAATACAGTTGGGTAGAAGCAGAATAAAACAGGAAGTGGTAGTTACTCTTGGGATTTATAGGAGAGTTTATAATAGATGGAAGAAAACTCATTGATCATCAACTCAGGTGAGTTGGACTTCAACCCGAATTTCAAGGCTAATTATTCTTCATTTCTTGAATGCCTTGGAATCATAAAATGTGTATAAAAAAGCATCATTTCCATAAGCCAGAGAAAATCAGTCCCATTTCTAAAGGGCAACATACATAGCAGGTGAAGAAGCAATGGCCATCTCTGTGAGCAGAAAAGCTAGACAGTCTGGGAGGTGGAGGAAGAGGGATCATAAGTTTGAATCCTACCTGGGTGACTTAGCTACTGCATGAGATCTGACTCAAAAAAAATTAAAAATGGGGGCTGGGGATATAGCTCAGAGGCACAGTGCCTGCCTGGCAAGCACAAAGTTCTGAGTTCAATTCCTAGTACCAAAAAAAAAAAAA